GGTCATTGAATGTTAACAGTTCAGTAAACTAGTAACAAATGACTAAAAATGGCTGGTCGTTGAATGTTAACAGTTCAGTGAACTAGTAAAAAATGACTAAAAAATGACTAAAAATGGCTAGTCATTGAATGTTAACATTTCAGTAAACTAGTAAAGAATGACTAAAAATGGCTAGTCATTGAATGTTAACATTTCAGTAAACTAGTAAAGAATGACTAAAAATGGCTGGTCATTGAATGTTAACATTTCAGTAAACTAATAAAGAAGAACTTTGTCAGCATAAACCTTTTTATTTTTCAAAAAAGACAAAATCGTTTTATGTTATTTAATTAGTACAAACACAGAACTCTTCCGTTTTGTGTTCCAATGATTCTTTTCTTGTACCGAAAAGGATACTAGTATATATATATATATATATAACGAACGATGCGCTACTTTGGGTATATAATTAGATTTGAGGGTAGTTTGGTAGATATCCTGATGAGTAATAAAATCGGATCGGGTATACGCACGCGCCCCACGCTTGATATTGCTGGCGCACAAAAATATTGCTAATAAAAAGAAAACAAACAAGTATAGTAACAAATTAAATTTTATAAAGACAATTAGGGATCGATATATACGTAACATGGCTAGTTATAGTAATATCAAAACTTTTAATGCTACCAAAAGTATTGAAATAGGAAAGTCAAAACTACAAACTACAAAAACTGATTACTTAAAATTAATATATATATATATATATATCCCTATTTTGGCTCAGACTAGCATAATTACAGTGATTTTACAAAGTATGGGTTAAAATGTTTTAGATTTTAAGTAACTCAGATTTTGTGGTTTTGACTTTCTTGTTTTAATACTGTTTATAGCAATAAAACTTTTTATATTACTACAGCTAGATATGTTACGTATATATCGATCCCTACTTGTCACTCTCAGTGGCACAGCGGCATGTCTGCGAACTACAACGCTAGAAATCGGGTTTCGATACCCGTGGTGGGCAGAGCACATATAACCCACTGCTTTGCTTTGTGCTTAACTTAAAACAAACAAACAAACCCTACTTGTCTTTATAAGATTTAAAAATTGTTATTATATTGGTATAATATACTTCCAGTTTATTATGTTACCTTATGGAGACTTTAAAGTTTGTGATTCAGCAATAAGACTCAAAACCATTCTCAGCATATGACATGGATCAAATATGAATCGAACTTTGGTCCTAGTAACAAGGTGAGAGGAATTAGGATCAATTTTGGTTAAAATTAAATGATGGATCAAGCTTTAAAGCCATGCTGAAATTGGTTGTTGATCCATCAGAAGTTAAAGAAACAACTCTAAATCCACTTGTAGTTACCTTTTGCACAATTTCTGGAACAATATTAGATCTTTCCTGAGCATTTAATCTATAAATTAATAGCCAACAGGATTTTTCAATTACTATTTATGGCTACAGCCATTAGAACTAAAGCACTACAAGCTAATAGCTAGATTGTCTGAATCATACCAAGTCCTACATCAACATAACCTAGTCTAATCTTTTTATTATCAACATTTAGAGTTAATCCATGATTAAGCTATCTTAGATATATTTGATAGTTAATTAACTCAAATGATTCACAGGTGAAACCTGGATCCCCATTAATGCCGTTATCTCAGCTTTTCAATGTACTTACAAGAGGTAAACAAAAATTGAATTATTTTCGAAAGTAGTTATAGTTCACTGCAAAAGATCTTATTTTACCAGAATAAGAGTTTCTGGGATTTTTTTTTAGCATTTATAGGTACAAATCTGAAATATTATCTCGAATTTTACTTAAAGCTTTGTAAGCAATTAGTAATTTATTTTGCATTCATTTTCTTATTCAGGTCTGTGTGGCAATTCGAAGTTTTCATGGAAGACCTGTACTTCTTTTTCAGCTCTCAAAGAAGCATTAGGATATTTTCTTTTAATCTGCCTTGGATTTTGAACGATGACGTTATTATTGTCGAATTAACTACTGGAAAAAGATATTTCATGTTGCAGGCAAACAGACAATTCATCATTTTTAACAGTGGACTATTCGTCTTGTTTGTTTGTAATTAAGCACAAAGCTACACAATGGACTATCTGTGCTATGCCCACCACGGGTATCGAAACCCGGATTCTAACGTTGTAAGTCCGCAGACATACCGCTGTGTCACGGGGGGCGAATAATTGTCTTAAATCATCTTTTGTTTTCGAATATGAACTTCCTGTAAGTAACAAAACAAAACAACAACATGCATTTAGCAACTGCTACATATTTCCCCAATATCACTCAAACTCAGGTTCAGGTCGCATATGTCAGTGCTGATATATTTCAAGGTCATCAGACCTATATGTTTAACTTGAATTTCTTTGGGAATTTTATAGTTAAATACTTCAAGCAAAATTACATTTTTATGGCTACTATGAAAGCAAAATGACTTTTATTTATATATTGCTGTATATTTAAACGGAAATAAAATTAACTGCAAAAACAATTATCATGAATCACAATAGCGGTTCATAATAGGGATCGCAAGGAATTGCACAAAACCCTAATAATACGTTCGTGTAAAAAGCACCTTAAACAGTAAAG